ACATACATACACACACACACACACACACACACATAGAGGCATACACACATATACATAAATTAAAAAATTGAAGAACAAGGAGGAGAGACATGGAATTTTCATGTACATGTACATGTACAAGTGGAAGATACTGGTATATAACAGGGATGCTGCCAATGCTGACCTGCAGGCTGGCAGGGACAGAACAGCACTCAAGTTGGAAACATCTGGGGTTAGAGTACAGGAGCAATTTCAGGTAGTATGTATGAATGTACTGATTGTGTCTGAAACAGAAACTGGGATTCATTTGTATAGGCCTCCTCTTCCATATGGCAAGATAGAAACAATTCCTCCCAGATTATCAGCCATGTCCGTAAAAGTAACCCTGGTCTCTACCCAGGGTTAATCCCTGGAGTGTTGGTGCCAAGCTCATGAAGCATCTTGGTCCAAACACTTGGGGTGCTGATGAGAATTGCCTGGATTGACCAGCCGTGAAAAGTCAGATGTCTTGTGCTCAGTAGTGTCAATCCTGGGTACTGTGGCACCTGCTGCGCTGGCTAATGGCAGAAGACCAATGCATTTCAACTCCATCATATCAGACCTAGCAGGCCACAGCTGAGGTGCATTTGGTCTGGGTACCCTCCTCCACTGAAATGCCACTGGGAATAGGCATTGTTGTATGGCTCTGGCATGTTATCATCCTGAAAACACTTCCCATTTCTCTTCTTCAAACTCCCCTGTGATGCTCTGATGTAAGTCTGCATTCTTTTTCTCTTGCGTGCTCCAACCCCTTCACTGTGACTTTTAGAACTCTAGCTCCACAGTGGGGTCAACTTATCTTTTTATTTAAAACATACTTATTTATTTTAGTTTATGTGTATGAGTGTTTTGCCTGCATGTATAGTTGTGCAGCCTATGTGTGTAGTTTGTAGAGGCTAGAAAGAGTTTCAGATTCCCTGGAGCCAGAGTTACAGATGGGAGTTGCCATCTAGGTGTTCTGTAAGATTAGCAAGTGCTCATAACTGCTGACTTATCTCCCCAGCCCCCCTCATATTTTTTACGCATTTTGTTTTTTGTTTGTTTGTTCATTCACTTCTCCCAGGTTCCTGTCTGACCCTGAACTTAACATTCCTTTGAGTATTGGCTTCTTTGTTACCTCCTGGAGGCATACTCTATCCCAGAGCAAGGAAGATGTGATGTCTGCCATTCCACTTTCTTTGTTCCTTTCGTAAAGCTTACACTACAGGGGTGTTTTAGCTCCTCAGAGTGACATCTCCTGGTCTTGAGCTCATGCAGCCCTCTCTTCTTTCCTAGATCACCTTTATCTCTCAACTGTCTCTCATCATTCTCATGAGGGACTCTCAGCACCCACATGCATAGCCCTTTTCTTTCTCTGGTCTCTTTCCCGGGCCCCTTACTAATAAGTGCCAAAACAATCAGAATGGGGGCTTATCTATATGGCTAAATATTTAGATGTTAAACATTCAGTCAACAAACTGTTAAACAACACAGGTCCCATTCTCCTCCCTTGATAAATAGATTTTTATGACAAAATTAAAACATTTAAATATGTGGTAAGATAGATGACTAGCGAGCATCCATCAATATCTTAGTCTTTGCCCTAAAACCCAGAGGAGGCTGAACTCCCAGAAACAAAAAAAGTAATTTCAGGCAGGAATCTAAATTTTAGGTTAGTACAAGGAAGTAGGCTTCAGACCTGAAAATGACTTTGGAATAGGACAGGGAAGTTGGCTCAGATTTTGGTCATCCTGATAAGCCCTTAGAAACAGTGATCATGGGTGCAGCTTAGACCAGACGGGGGGGGGGGGGCCCGCCCCAGTTATTCAGGAGATAGGGCAAAGGTGTGTGTGTGGGGAGAAGTAGAAGAAGAAGATGGAAGAAGAGAGGAGAGGAGAGAGGAAGAAGAGAGAGGAAGAAGAAAAGTAAAGGCCGGCCATGACCACATGGAGAGAGGGGGAAGGGAAGGGGGGAGGGGCGAGGGGACAGAGAGAAGCTAGAGGCAAGAGCAAGAGAGCAAGAGAGAGAGGAGGAGGCAAGCACCACCCTCCTCCTTTTTTTTTTTTTTTTTTCGAGACAGGGTTTCTCTGTGTAGCCCTAGCTGTCCTGGAACTCACTCTGTAGACCAGGCTAGCCTCAGAAATCTGCCTGCCTCTGCCTCCCAAGTGCTGGGATAAAAGGCGTGCGACACCACGGCCCATCAACAAGCAGCCCCTTTGATAGTGGGCAGGCCTACCTGGCTGTTGCCAGATAACTGTGGAGGTGGAGTTTAGACAGAATACTAACAGAGTCACCCCCCTCACCCCTAGATAAACTACCATGGATATTTTTAAATTGGTGTTCTCTATAAGTATAGAAATGTAAACATATATTTTATAAGTATATTTGTGCTGCTTTAATAAAACTCACATCCTACTTGGAAACAGAAACAAACAGAAAAACCAAAGAGGCTAACTTCTGGGACTGTGGAAGGATACAGTAATTATTAACCTGAGCCCACTGCTGGGTCAGTGTTCCTGATTTTGTTGTAACTGTCTTTAACTATTACTATCACTGAACAAACCAGCAATGGTTTTAAGTTAATAATATATATATATATATATATATATATGGACTTATATAGAAACTGCAGTCCAACTAATCCAACAATGGCTAGCTGTGAATGGAAAGTTCAAGAATTCAGTAGTTGATCAATCTCACAAGACTGGGTGTTTCAGCTGGTCTTCTGAATATGCTGGAATCCCAAAGAAGTAGGCTCCAATGCCAGTGAAGGAATGGATGTGCTAGCAAGGTGAGGGCAAACAGGTAAAGAGATAAGGTTCCTTCTTCCATGTCCTTATATCCAGGCTTGTAACAGGTATGGCCTAGACTAAAGGTGTGTCTTCCCACTTCAAGATCTGTATCCTAGGTGTATTCTTGAAACCTGGATTGTAGTTCATTCCAGATTTAGTCAAGTTGAAAATCAAGAATAGCTACCACAACACCTTAAGGTCTAATTTAACAATCATTCACAAAGTTCTAAGTAAAAGCCAACCAGTATCACATGCCCATTCACCTTCCCTTCTGTTTCTTACCCATGGCTACCTATATAGACTCTATCAAAGATTTCTTTGGCTCAACCTGTTATGTTTTTCCACGTTTAAACAATGAAAAGCATTGTTAGATATGGAGTATCTTAACAAAATACACATGGACAGTTCAGTATTTACCAGTGTGCTGGGAAAAACTCCTTGAATAGGGCCTTCCTTGAAAAGTTTACTATAATTGTACCAATCTCATCAGTTCCAAAGGTTTTCATGATGACTTTCAGGTGAGTTTCATTATGACTTTCAGATGAGTTGATCAAAAGAGTAACACAATGGGGACTTACCAGTTATCCTTCAGTTATTGGTTTCTGTGATGGCTATTTCTGGTTTGTCAATTTGACCACACCTGGAATGAACTACAATTCAGAAATGGAGTGAACCTGCAATCTAGATCTTGAAGCTAGAAGACACCGGATCTTGACATGGGATGACATACATTTTTGATCCAGAACTTGAGGCATAGTGGCCAAGAAAAGCTTAGGCCCAGACAAGATGGTATGCACATTTAGTTCTAGGAGACAGAGACAAGCAGATCTTAGAGTTCAGGCCCAGCCTGAGACAGAGCAAGTTCCAAGTAAAGACAAGTTTAGGTCCAAACATGGTGGTACACATCTTTAAGCTGGGCCACACCTTCTGCTGGAGGCCTACATAAGGACAATGGAAAAAGGAAGGATTTTGATTTGTTTGTTCTTTGCCTGCTTGCCCTTACTTGCCAGCACATCTTTTGGAACCTATTTCTTCAGGATTCCAGTTTATACAGAAGACCAACTGGGAGGCTGCCGCAGCCTGGTGGGACTGAGCAACTACTTAGATTCTTTGACCTCCCCATCACAGCTGGACATTGTTGGGTTAGTTGGATTGCAGGCTGTCATCCCAAAAATTTCTCTTAACATATGCATTCCATAAGTTCTGTGACTCTAGAGAACCCTAATAGTTTCTAACTGCACAGTGGTCACAGAACGTGGTTATGTCAGTCCTCAGACATGCAGAGACACTTGCTTAGGGACACAGTATGTTTATCCTTTGAAAATGTTTCACATACTCTTGGAAGGAATGCGTACTGTGCAATTTCTGAAGCAATATTCTGTCTTTCTCAGTTTGGGATGCCTAGGGCTAAAAAAGGGCACACCCAGCAGTCTACCCTTTTTAGAGTCTGTACCCAGGGCCTACTTCGACCCTCCTTTCATCCCCCAAGCAAAGGCTCGGGCTGCGAGGTCAAGGCCTAGGTGGTAAAAAGCGTGTGTCGGTGGGGGAACCTCACTATGGAAAGGTTAGCCAGCATGGGGCATGAAGGGACACACAGGAGGCTGAGGAAAAAAAAAAGAAAAAAAAAAGGGCGGGGGGAACTGTTAAGTCTAACTGCGGAGACTTTTTTCGTCCATTCTCGGGCACACCCAGACGAGTTCTGGCAAAAAGTTTAGAGAACGCGCGTGCGCAGACCAAAGTCCTTTATCACGTAATGTCGGCCGGGGGCGGGGCCAGCGAATCCTGGTCTGGACACCTGGCCTAAACTGATGGGGGGGGAGGGGAGGGAGAGGGAAACGCGCGGCTGTGTGCATTCGCGTTGCGGTGACTCATAACTCCCTCCCCCTTTTCGCCCAGCTTTCTCCTGGCTGTCCCTCGCATCACGTGCTTTCCTGGCCGCTCTCCCAGAGCCCTTTCCAATTGCCCGAAGAAACTGCTGTAAAATGTCGTGAGGGACGTCGCCGCTTTGCGGCTGCCTCTCTCAGAATCAGACCCCGGGAGTGCCCACCGCAGTCAGTGGTTCCTCCGGCGGAGTCGTCCTGACGGAGGGCGAAAGCAATCGGTGCGTCACTGGATTTTCCGCCGCACTCGCGAGGGCTCCGGGCGATGTGAACTCGAGGCGGCTGCTGTGCTCCCAGGCCCGAGGGCTGAGGTGGGCGGGTAGGTGCCTGGGAAGCTGCGGCCCGGCGGGATGGAGGAGAGCATGGAGGAGGAGGAAATGCTCACCTACGAGGCAATGATGGACGACCAGAATCACAACAACTGGGAGGCCGCCGCAGACAGCTTCCGGCAGCCTCCACCGGCCCCGCCGCTGCCCCCGCCGCCGCCGCCGCGGCCCTCGTCGTCCATCCCAGATCCTGGCCGAGAACTCCCGGGGGGACAGCTGCTAGCTGTGCACGCGGGCTCCATGGACAGGAAGGGTCCTAAGGAAGGGCTCTCGATGGGGCCTCCGCCCTTGCCGGAGTCAAACGGGGTGATTATGATGTTGAAGAGCTGCGACACAGCCGCCGCGGTGGCCAAGGCGGCTCCTGCCCCCACCCCCAGCTCTACCATCAACATCAACACCTCCACCTCCAAGTTCCGTGAGTCTGCCCCCCACGCACCCCCTCCACGTCCTCAGGCTTCTTCTCCACATCAGCTCGCGGAATCCCCCCGCCCTGAGAGCAGCTCCACTTCCTTTGTTCCAGGCTTAGTTCTCTTTCCTCTTCTTAACCCTTCTACCCTCTTCATTCGGTGTCTGCGGCCAGTATCCGGCCGACCAGCCTGGGTTGCTTGTTAGACCTGCGCAGCCTTAGATTATGCTTCAGAAAAGATCTTTATTATACCTGATCTCTCAACATTAGAAAGCTCTTTTCTATTGCGTCCCCTTTAAAGTTTCACCTTCCAAAGCGAGGGGAAAAAGTAAGGGGGCCCTGAGTTTCATTAGCGAAAGGCCTTTCGTCTTTCTTTGTAGCCAGAGAGCAAAGAAATGTGTTCTTTTTTTTTTTTTTTTTCTCGAGACAGGGTTTCTCTATGTAGTCTCTTGGATGTCTTAGAACTCACTCTGTAGACCAGGCTGGCCTCGAACTCAGAAATCAGCCTGCCTCTGCCTCCCAAGTGCTGGGACTAAAGGCGTGCGACACCACTGCCCAGCGAAATGTGTTCATGTATTCTTAACCGATGTACTTCGAGCAAATCAGGCATCTGAACGTTGGTCTCTTTCAACTCTTTGTTCTCTGTGACTTTTTTGCATCCTGTCACTGAATTCTGAGTTACTTCTGTGTAGTGGGAACTGCTACAAGTTTTTTGAAGTTGATGTATAAAATCACGTTCCAGAGAAGGTTCATCAAGTGACCATAACCAGGACCATGCTGCATGTTGAACTTTTTAGCGATCTGCCTTAAATTCAGTTTCAGACAGAAGACAAAAACTGACCCCAAAGTGTTCATAATCAGGTAGTGTGCCTCCATAGCTAGGTAAAGAATAAGATAGTGCTTTTTAGCCCTGAGTGGTGGTGGTAGTGTAAAAGGAACGTGACCATTACTGGTAGCCAGGTCCTTGTTAACTGCAAATTTAAAATGACATCTCGGTAATGTAACTGGAGATGTTATTTCTAGTTAAGTTTTATTAAGCTATAGCAGTAATTGCCCACTTAGCTGTGTATCTTTTTGTCCTGATGCAGATGTGTAGCCACAACCTTAGAAAAAGTTATTTATGGGACTAGCACACGACATTACTTAATTGCCTTCAAGATACTGCTTTAGGCAAAGACACTGTGGTGTGGGTGTAGATAGGAACATTTGTGTATGATTATTCCCTGTTATTCATACACCCGACAATCATATAATTCAGTTTGTATGTTGAAGGTTAAGTTGTGAAACTAGACTTTATATTGGAATGTGATTTACCTTAGATGCTGAAGGCAGTTTGGATTAATGCTTAAGTAGAATTTCTTTGGGAAATGAACATTAAGTTACCAACCAAACAGAGAGCAAAAGGATTTGCCAAATCAAAAGATTATTTCTTGAAAAGATTAATAAGGGGAGTTAGGAATGCAGCCTGGTTGAGAGAGTGCTTGCTAGCAGGCAGGAAGCCCCGAGTTTGATCCCAGCAACTTATAAAACCTGACCTGGTGGCTCACAGCTGCAGTCCCAGCACTCTGGAGGTAGAGACAGGATGATGAAGAATTTCATCTTCCTTAGCTGCATTTCCATCATATGCATATGTTATAGGTCAGCCTGTGATATGTGAGACCCTGTTACAAAACAAAACAAAAAGACTACTAAGCTATGCAGATCTTTTAAAGACTGGTCAAGGGGAAAAGTTGCAAATAAATGAAAAATAAAATATTAGATTTTAAAAAGTTACTATATAGTAATAAATTAGAAAAGGTAAATGAAATATGTGATAAGGAACTATTAACTCAGAACATAGTTATCAGAAGTTATCTAAGCTTGGATGGGCCAAGCTTAGACTAGTAGGATTAGTAGTGACTTTCCCTTTCAAATCTCTTAGTCCAGATACTCTTGTACACAAGTTCCATCACACTTCCAAAACCTTTTCTTTTTATAAATTCTGGAATATAGAGCACAGAAGCAAGACAAAACTAAACCCCCAAGTCCATTTTATGGGTTTAGTGAAAATCTTGATTTAAAACTAGGTAAAGAGCAGTGGTGGTGCATGCCTTTAATCCCAGCACTTGGGAGGCAGGCGGATTTCTGAGTTCGAGGCCAGCCTGGTCTACAGAGTGAGTTCCAGGATAGCCAGGACTATACAGAGAAACCCTGTCTCGAAGAAAAAAAAACCAAAACCCCCCAAATAAACAAACAACAACAACAACAAAAAACTAAGTAAGATTATAGTTGTGTTACACCTATTAGCATAGAAATGAAAATCCTGTATACTATTAGGTCATCAGATCTAATCATGTCAAAAGAATCATGATTCACTGTCCAAGTTTTTTTCCCTATCGATATATTGCTGTAATTTATCTTAGTACGTTGGAAAAAAAAAATCATGACTCGATAACTTTTTTAATGCCAGTCATCCAGCACCCAGTTGATACTGTGATACTTGATACTGTGATAAGTCTTAGTAATTCAAAGAATACAGGCTAACTATTTAAAAGTCATTACTAGATACCTGTAGGATCTAGGATCTAGGATAATAGGAATAATGATGGAGAAATTTTCAATGTATTCACAATAAGATGGTAACTGCCAATGGATGCTCCTTAACATATTATGAAAAGTCCTTGTTGCTTGCATGGTGGCTCACATTTTTAATCCCCCCACAGGAGGTTCTTTGAGTTCCAGATCAGACTCTGTCTCAAAACAAACAAACAAACAAACAACCAAAAAAAATGGAAACAAACTCTTTAGAATTTGGTAATAGTAGAACCACTGAAACCAAAAGAAAAACTCAGTGTAGACGGATGGTTAGGTTGAAGACCAGCCTAGAAAAGATAAAACGTATGCTAGTAGAAATGGTACCAAAAATAGACATCTATATAATTTACAAAGTTATAGTGTCTGTAAGTGAAATAACCTCAAAATACACAAGACTTAAGTACAGTGAAATTTTATTGAGGAACTAAGGAGGAATTTGCTAAATGGCTCACGTTTCCATGTTCTTGAATCAAATTATTATAGGAATGCTCCTTTTCTCCATCTGAATCTAGAAATTCAATTTAAATGTCACCAACATTATGTTTGATTTGTTTGACAGACTCTGTTGTTGACTCTAGTACCTGTGACACAATGCTGGCTGGTCTTGTAGCCTGATAGAGGTGGGCAGTAGTAGGTCTGCTGTCTTTTATTTACTGTCTTTTATTTACATGTGCCTCTGCTTTTGTCGGGTGATTTCTGGTCTGTCTTGAGACTGTTCAGATCTGCTGCTTGTTCTTGGGTTGTTTGTGCTACTGAGTTTAAAGACATCCTTGTGAACTTTGGGCATGTATTCAGAATGTCCTCTCCCCACGGCTTGTATTTTTTTTTTTTTTTTTTAGTGTTTTTCTGAAGAGTAGATGTTTTGTTTAAATGTCAGCTGATTCTTATCAGTTCTGTTCTTCTATGGCCTGTGTTTTTTTGTATCCTGAGAAATACTTGTGTAACTCAAAGTCAAAAATTTTCTTGTAAAAGTATCTTTTACTTGCCTGATGTAATTGTTTTCTTGGAGGCCTGTGGTCACCCTTTTCAGTTCTTTCTGAGCTCTGGCTGGGTGGTTCATCTCAGGTGTTCTGGGTCAAACCCCTCTTCAAGCTGACTGATTTAATCTGGCTTCTCTTTCCTTCTCACTGAATTGCTGTGCTTGACTTCAAACTGATATTTAATCTTCTGGCTCCTCCTTATTCTCTGGCTTCACCTGCCTCTGTTGACCTTCACTGAACTGCATGAACTCAAGAACAAACTCAACTCCACTGCATTGAACTTAACTGACTGAACAAAACTGAGTAGAACTAGAGACCGGAATGCCTGTTTCCTGAGTGCTGGGATTAAAGGCATGTGTTATCATACCTGGACCTAAAAAAGGTTCTTTTTGCTTTTTTCTTCTTCTTTTTTTTTCCCCCGAGAAACTTGCTCTATGCCAGGGTAACCTTGAACTCAGAGCAGATCTCTGTCTCCTGGAATTAAAGGCCTGTCTATTCCAGCCAGATCACATAAACCTAGAAGGTCTTTGGATATGATCCCTTGCCAGAGCAGCTTTGTTGCTGGATTAAAATTCCTCTACATTTTCACCTAGAAATGTTGTGGGTTTAGCTTCTAACCTGTGGCCTGAATTATGAGCTTATGTGTGTGTAGTGTGAGAGGGACATTCTTTTCTTCATACATATCCAGTTGTGTCAGCAATATTCAACTTAAAACTACCCTTGCTATTTTGGCAGTTTTGTAAGATAGTAACTGAATATATATGTATAGATTTCAATTCTGTTCACAGACCCTTTTATATGGTGTGTCATGTTCAGGATTGTTGTATCCTGGACTGGGTGTTTTATGATGGAATGTTTGTCTATCTCTGGTAGTGTTCAGTGTCTTTAGATTTCCAGGTTCATTGTGTGATGACTTTTCCAGTACTTTTGTTTTTAATCTAAACTGCATTTGTTGTGTACAAAATGTAGTTGGATCTTGCTTTTTTAAAAAATTTATTTACGACAGCCCCTGCCTGCCTGCCTGCCTGCCTGCCTTCCTTCCCTATTCCTCTCCCTATCCCCTCCCTTTTTTCCTTTCTTTTCTTTCCTTCTGGTTTTGAGACAGGGTTTCTCTTTGTAGCCCTGGCTGTCCTGGAACTCCTAGACCTTGGACTCAGATCCACCTGCCTATGCCTTTGAGATTAAAGGAATGGCCACCGTGCCCAGCCCCCAGCCCCTACTTTCAAAAGCCCAGTTGAAGACTTTTCACATTATTGTAAGGTTGAAGTCCATTGTCTATTTTCTTTCTCTTAGTTTCTTTTGATACTTTTTTTTTTTTTTGTGAGGCCCTGACTGGCCTTAAACTGACCTTAAACTCCAGTCCCAGGGATTGAGTCCTTGGCCATACCTGTAAACTGTGTGAACCTTAAGTGTTTTTGCCCATTTTTTATGAAATACAACTTCAGTTTGGCTTAT